TCTTTTGGTTTTGATATTGTTTGATGGGTTTAGGTCATCGGTTCTATTGTCCACCGTTTGGGCACGCCGATATTACCAATTCAGAATTCTGGGTTCGATTTCCTTTGTCTTGTCCAAAGTTTGAAGCTTTCCCTCCCTTAGGAATGGGATTCTGCTCGTCTACCCCAAAGTTTGTGGCAACCTGCTCCGTTCCTGGAGGGCTAAAAGTAGCTTGCCACCGGCTTCAAGAATTGAAGTTATTTTTGTGTAGAAAGTTAGATAAGATAGAGGTTTTTGCTCCAATGTTAAGTTTAATGTCCTTTTCATCTCGAGTGACAGACAGACCCTCATTCTTTTCCCTCAGTGCTCCATCAAAATTGCTTAGTTTAAGACTTTCTTCAACTACTTCGAGATTTGATGCCTCATGGTCACATGATGCAAAATGAAACTGAAACTCTTGATCTATTGTTCTTTCCAGGTGAAAAGGTACTTTCTAAAGAACACAACATCGTTTACTATCTTTACTTGGAATCAATTAATAGTTCTTTCCTGAGGAAGGACAGGATGGATGTCTTTTAGAATTTTAATGCAAGACATTTGAGGCAGAGAAGATGATGACCACGGTGCTTCAAAATGTTGGGACAGTGGTCCATCTTTAAGGTGAAGGACGCTGAAGGGATTAAGCAGAAGGCACCTCTTTGTTGGGATGCTTTGTTGAAAGCAATACAAATAATACAGAATATAGGTCAGCCAAAACATAGTGTTTTTTTTTTCTTTTCTTTTCTTTTTTTTTGAATTTTATTTAAGATGAAGATGATTTTTTTTTTTTTTCTCTTTTATGTGAGCAAGGGGATGACTTAAAATTGAAGCAAGGGCAACTCTATCAAATTTACCTTCTAATTTACATGAAGTATAAAAGGACTTTTGTGAAGGAATCGTGGAACCAACATAATGGAGTTACAATTGGAAAAGCCATCAAGCATTTAAATGATATTTGCTTCGCTATCTTCTTTTTTTTTTTTTTTCTTGAACAAGAAGAATTACAGGGGTAGGGGAATATCACTGCTTTGGTTCAAACCTACATATTAGGATTAATTTTTTTCGAGAGAAATTTAGGAGAAAAAAAGACTATCACTTGGTCCAAAATCATAAGAAGAAATAACAAGTTGACTAAAAAAGAAGAAAAAAAGATTAATTAATAAATATAGGCACAAAACAAAAGCATTCCTAAGTTATTAACTCTACTTTGATATGGATGGAATCAACTAGAGGAGGAACTTGTCTCTAATGGCATATAATTTTGCAGCAACTTCTTTCATCTCCATTCTTTCACTTGGTGACTCCATTGAGCAAACAACTCCAACCTCGGCAACCGCTAGGAGGCTCTCCAAAACACCAACTCCCTTTTGCATATCCTTTGCCTTTGAAATTTCTGCTTCTTGAACCTCCTGAAGCAATGAAGGATCTATAATATCGGTTACTCTTTCAGGAAGTCTTGTCTTGACCAATTGGTGAATGGTCAAGTTGTCTTTGAACATTGAATCAGTTGGTGTTTTCCCTGTAATCATCTCCAGTAAGAGAATTCCAAAACTATATACATCACCAGCCTTGGATATCTTAAGGCTCATGCCATATTCTGAAATAGAAAATAAAAGGTCAATAAATATTGTTGGTTTATCATGTTAGTGAGCACAAAGGTAGATCAAATGCAAATGAAATGATGGAAAGTAGAGAGATTGAAGAAAGTTACAAAAAATTAAATTGATTACCTGGGGATACATAGCCAATTGTTCCTTTCACACCCATGGAACTGCTTTGGTTTTGAGAAATTGATAAGAATCTTGCCAGGCCAAAATCACCCACATGAGAAACCATTTCCTCATCAAGTAGAACATTACTTGGCTTAAGGTCCCCATGAACAATTGATGGCTGGCAATAGTTATGAAGGTATTCAATTGCAGAAGCAACCTCAACGGCTATATTGAGTCTTTGAATGAGGCTTAAACTCCGTGCACCAGTTTGATCTTCATTTGGATGTAGCCATTCCTCTAAGCTTCCATTTTGCATGAACTCATAGACCAAATCCTTGAAACTGGTTCCTTTAAAGTCAATACTTGAGCACACAGTTATAATCTTGATCAAATTCCGATGTCGAACATTTCTCAGTGTTTCACACTCAGCCATAAAACTCTTGGTAGCTCCTCTCCTCTTAAGGTTTAACACCTTCACTGCCACTAAGATTCCATCTCGACTCAAAATTCCTTTATACACAGAGCCAAACCTTCCCTCACCTATCAAGTTGGATGATGAGAACTCATTGGTTGCCTGGCTTAACTCTGCATAAGAAATCATTGGAAATTGTTTTGGATCTTGTGCCGTGGTAGAAGTTGAAGCTTTCCTCTTCGATCTTTTGTATGCAAAGGTAACAAGAAGCGAGACCGTCAAGAATATTGAGCACGAAGCAATTACCGAAATCAAAATGATCAAAAGATGAAGCTTTTTATCTCTAATCTTGCATGAAGGAAGTCCTAGTTGATGAATGCCACCACAGAGTCTTGGGTTTCCAACAACAAAAATTATGCTCACATTTCCAAAGATCCTTCCAATTGGCAACTTTCCTTCAAAATTATTGAACGATAAGTTTAGGTACTGTAACAAAGGAAAATTTTGGAAGTATTCTGGAATTTCACCAAACAATTTGTTATTGGAGAGGTCAATGGCTACAAGGCTTTTCAAATTGTTAATTGATGATGGGATGCCTCCTTCAAACAAGTTATCACTCATCCAGAGTCCCTCCAACATCAAGCAATCTCCTAAGGCACTTGGAATTCCTCCTGACAATCGGTTGTGTGAAACATTCAATTGCACAAGGTTGGTCATCTTACCTCCTGCTAAATCTATGGGCAATTGTCCTGTAAATGAATTCCGCGACAAGTTGAGCTCAAAGACATGAGATAAGCTGAAAAGTTCTTTTGGTATGTTACCAAACAAGAAATTACTGTCAAGGCGAAGAGATTCAAGTTGCGAACAATTTCCCATACAAGAAGGAATCAAACCCCTCAAATAGTTGTCATGCAATTGCAATATTAACAATTGGGTGATATTTCCAAACGAGGATGGAATTGACCCTGAAATTCTATTCTCAAATAGACCAACATCAGATAGCTTTTCTAGTTTACCTATAGAAGAAGGAATTTCCCCTGTAATACTGGTAGTGGCGATCTGCAGTGCATTTAAGCCAACCAAATTCCCAATCTCTTTGGGGATTTTACCTGAAATCTGCATGTTTCCGCCTATAGTGAAACGTTCCAGCTTAGTTGAAAGATTGGCAATTGAAAGGGGCAATACCCCTTTGAAATTATTCTCGTAGCTAGAGTAGCAATCGTCGGAGATTGGTGCAGTTGGTTAAAGAAGTTATGAAACCTAAACCTTCTCCCTCTGCACTTTCCAACTGATTTCCCCTGAGATTTAGAACTGTAAGATTCCTTAGGCTTCCAAGGTTTGAAGGTACCACCCCACTAAAATTGTTAGGCCCAAATTCAAGCTCTTCTAATTTGGTAGCATTTAGAAAAGAAGTTGGTATCTCTCCATAAAAATGGTTTTGAGGGACATAGAAATACCGAAGATTAGGAAGAGAGAAGCCAACATCAGATGGAATTCTACCCTGCAATTGGTTCTTTGCCAAAGAAAGTAGATACAGTGATGATAAATTGTAAATAGAAAATGGGACCTCCCCAGATAAATTGTTTCGAGAAAGCTGTAGAAATTGCAACTTTAGAAGTTTTCCAAGCTCTGCTGGTATATTTCCATGTAAATTATTTGTTGCCAAGGATAATTTTAAGAGTGAAGATGCATTTCCCAACATTTGTGGTATACTTCCTGTTATCTGATTGGCAGAGAGTTCGATAACTTCTAGGCTTTTTGATATATTTTGAAGCTTCATTGGGATTTTACCTGTAAAGTTAATTATTGTAGCTAAGTTCAATATATATCTTCAAAATTTGAACTGAATGACATATATATTCATTCGAGCCTTACCATGAAAATTGTTGTAAGTGAGACTAAGATTTCTCAATCGGAACAAATGACCAATTTGTTGAGG